GCTTGGTGCTTGGTGGACCTCCGCTGTGAACTGGTCTGCAGCTTCTGTAGAGAGGGCTTTTTCCAGCACGTCCTTGAACGTGGGGTCCCGCTTGGCTATGAGCTACCTTTGGACCTGCTTGTCCTGCAGACCGCACACCAGTTGGTCGGTCGGTCACAGAGCTCTTCCTCCAGGTCGCGGAAGCTGCAATGACGGGTGGCACACCAGAGGACCGTAACATAGGCCATAATCGACTCACCCGTGGCCTGGTTCCTTGTGTGGAATGCGTGGCAGGCCACGATGATGGAGGGTGTTGGCGCAAAGTGCTCCTGCAGCCGGTTTATCATCGTCTGGTACAGAGTGGTTCGTAGCTTCACTAGAGCCAGCAGCGAGCACACCATCTCGAAGGTTGAGTGGCTGCAGACCCGGAAGAAGGCGGCGCACTTCTTCATGCCCTTGGTGATCTCAGCAGACTCGAGGAAGAACTCCAAGTGAGAAATGTAGGAGTCCCAGTCCTTAGCAGTGGTGTCGAATGCGTCAAAAAGTCCTGGAGCGCTAGCCATAGTCCCAGTTGCAGCAGCGAGCACACCATCTCGAAGGTTGAGTGGCTGCAGACCTGGAAGAAGGTGGCACACTTCTTCACGCCCTTGGTGATCTCAGCAGCCTCGAGGAAGAACTCCAAGCGAGAAATTTAGGAGTCCCAGTCCTTAGCAGTGGTGTTGAATGTGTCGAAGTGTCCTGGAGCGGCAGCCATGGTCCCAGTTGCAGTGTGATGCATGTGGCACTGGAGCTCGGTGTGCAGTGTGGTGCAGATGGGCTCTAGGCTTGCTCAACAGGATCCCATCCTTGACACCAGTGTTAAATACTGGGCTCAAGACGCATTGCAGCGAAACAGCTCTACTTTATTAAGTAATTTCAGGAACAAGACTAAAACCCCAGGGCAACAGCCCTGTTTACATAGCATGCAAAACCCACACCCAAACACACCCCACTCCCAATGATAGGCTATTTACATAACATTACTTCCTCATTGGTCACCTCCAGAGTCCTGGTGGGCTATTGTTCTGGATCTCCAAGCTTGGCCAGTTTCTGGTAGACAGTCCTGGAATGTTCTGCCCCTAATAACACACTGGACTGTGTGTGTGCAGGTCAGCCACAGAGAAAGAACTTCCTAGCTCAAAATGACTGAAAAGGCACTCCTCCCACTGAAATTGACGCACATTGAGGGGGAAAGCACCGTTTCCCCTCAGTTCTCCTGAGCTGTCAGAGCCTGCACTAATAAGTAGGGATGGGCACGAACTGGCTTATGAACTATGGCTCATGAACTAAAGTTCACCATGAATCTTGGCCGTTTATGAAGCAATGTTCGTGGTGGGGTGAGCGGCATAAACATTCCACAAACTTTCATGCTGTTCATGGTAGTTCATGGCAGGGCAGGCAAAACGGTAGGGAATTGGATATAGGCTGTGAGGCTTTTGCGAGCTATTTTGCAGATAAAGTCTTGGCGCTCCACTGTGACCTGCCAGCCACATTTGAGACAGTATGTGAACTCGAGGCCCCATGCACGTCTTCTGGTCCCATTCTGGATTATTTCGAACGACTCAGCCTTGAGGAAGTCGACCGATTGATTTTAATGGTACGCCCAACCACATGCAACCTGGATCCGTGCCCCTCCTGGCTAATTAAAGCTGGCCACGAGGGGTTTTGAGGAGCCCTCAGTGATATTATCAACAAATCCCTCTCTGAGGTGCTGTTCCCGGGGGCTCTTAAGGAAGCAATGGTCCACCTTCTCTTGAAAAAACCATCTCTGGATCCAGCTGAATTGGCCAACTATCGTCCGGTTTCCAATTTGCCCTATTTGGGCAAATTAATAGAGAGGGCAGTGGTGATACAATTGCAGAGCTTTCTGGATGACGCTTCCATTCTTGATCCCTACCAGTCCGGTTTCCGCCCGGGCCACGGGATGGAGACGGCACTGGTCGCCCTCACGGATGACCTCCGGAGGCATCTGGATTGGGGCGGTGCGGCGGTGCTGCTGTTGCTGGACCTGTCGGCAGTGTTCAACATGGCCGATCATCCCATTGCCGGCCTTTGATGGGGCGCTGTTGGTGCCAGCGTCGCGGGTCTGGAGTATGGGAGTGCTCCTGGATGCCTCCTTAACAATGGAGGCCCAGGTAGCAGCCACTGCCAAGGCAGCCTTCTACCAACTTCGACTGATTAGGCAGTTGGTTCCCTTCCTCAAGCGCAAAGATCTGGCGTCAGTGATCCATGCTATGGTCACCTCGAGGTTGGATTACTGCAATGCTCTCTACATGGGGCTGCCCTTGGGGCAACTTCGGAAGCTGCAGCTGGTGCAAAACGCGGTGGCCAAGCTGTTGATGGGCCTCCTGATGCGGGAGCACATCCAACCTATGCTAAAGGCGTTGCACTGGCTGCCAATAGCTTTCCGGATCCGCTTCAAGGTGCTGGTTTTGACCTTTAAAGCCCTATATGGTTAGGGACCTGTCTACCTGAGGGACCGCCTTTCCCCGTATGTTCCCCAGAGAGCACTGAGATCTGGGATGCAACATCGCCTGACCCTTCCTGGCCCTAAAGAGGCCAGGTTGACGACAACTAGGTCTAGCTAGAGCATTTTTGCTAGCTGCACCAGCATATTGGAACGAGCTCCCTAGTGAGATCCAGGCCCTGCGAGACGGAGCTTTTCCACCGGGCATACTGTTTGGAAGAAGGGGCAGGGTGGGTAAATAGGAGGCATAATTTATACATATTTTCCACCTTGTGAGAGGTTGGTGGAATAGACACAGGTTTCTCCAAGACAGACATAGCTAAGTCCAAGAAATCCTCTAACATTGGAAAGGCAATAGATTCTTGAGTGTCAGAATACAGCGCACTCAATATTTTATTCTTAGATTTGGGGTTAGAGGCCAAAACGTCTATTTCTAGGGACTTCGTCATGCACAACATCTTGGAATAAAGGTACAAGCCCTCATTTGGAGAAATAGTGGAAGAGTCTCCAACACCTTCATCAGGCAGTGGGATGGATGGAAACTCTGGTCCAATTTCAGCTGGTGAAGCCTTTCATCACCCTCCAAGTCTGAAGCATGGTGGCTTGGTAGATCATACAGAAAAGTACCCAAAGAATACGACTGCTGGAATAGAACTGAAGGCATTGATGGAACCAAGTGAGGTAAAGCTCCCCCCATCCAAACGCATACACAGGAGACGGTGCATATGAGGAAATGGAACTTGCCAAGGCATGTTGTGAGGAGTCGGCTGAATCAGAGCCAAGCGCAGCTTCTTCAGAACCTGGAGTGAGACTGGTTGAGTTGGAGGTATCTCGCCCTCAGAAAAAGACTCCTCCAGATCCTGCAAGTGAGGAGGAGTATAAGGCAGGGGAAACGGAATCAGATCCTCCTCTAAGACTATTGGATTGTCAGTAGTAACTGGAATCATCTGGACTTGAGCTCTTTGGGACAAGATGAAACTGTTGCCTTGTCTACATGTTTGGATTTAGATTAGTCTTCTTTGGGACAGGGAGTGCCAAAGTGCTACGCTGGGAAGAAGATGAACCTGGATACCAGGCCCAACAGTGAGGTGGATCCAAGGATGGAACAAACCATACTGAAGATACCGATTCTGGATGAAATTAATGCTCCCACCCAACAGATTGCTTTGCTGCCGGTGTGTTGGAGCCAGTTAGGGCTTTCTCCCAAAGGGCTGCCTTAAGCTAGGGTGATCTGCTGGTAGTGGAAGCATAGCCAGACATTGTGGGACTCGCCCAGACGCAGAATATGCAAAGAATGTTCATCAGTATGTTCATTTTGGTGCTGCACTGAAGATATTTTTTAAAAAAATTAACGAAACCATATCACGAGTCTAAGAAGGTCAAGAAAGAACAACGAACAACCACAAAAAAGCAAAATCCATGAACTAAACTAGAGACTTCTTCTCCAATCAGTGGCAAAGAAAGAACGGAGGGGGAAATGGCACTCTCCCTTCAACACGCATCAAGTTCGGCAGGAAACACCACATCACACATGTGGGGGGAGCACCTTTTCAGTCATTCTGAGCTAGAAAGTTCTTTCTGTGCTGCTGGCCTGCAGATGCACAGTCCAACGTGGGATCGCATAGAAGACTGAAGACAGATATATGTCCCTAGTGGCTGAGTGGCAGATAGTTTTTGTTGAGCAGTCAGACTGGGAAAGAAGGGGTTAAGTGCAGGCCTTTTCCAAGATGTGTGCCTAGCTGAGGCTTTGTGTGTGCTGCAGCTGAACTAAAGCATATTTATAACCTCAACCAGGGGTCATTTCGTAGAAAAAGAGGTGCAGGAGCTCATTAGCATAACTCATTAGCATAACCTGTTTGCATATGCCACACCCCCTGATCTAAGAGATCCAAGTCCTTTCTGCCTGGCCCTTGGCTCCCTGGGGCTTGGGGGAGAGGGAGAGACAAGGCTGAAAGGGGCTTGGATCTCTTAGATTCAAGGCCCTTTCAGCCTTGCCATCAGCTCTCTCGGGCTTGGGATGGGGGAAGGAGAGACAGGGCTGAAAGGGGCTGGCTGGAGACAGGAAGGGGAGCCCGGCAGAACTTTACATTTCTCCTTGTTAAAATTCATTTCATTTGTTTTAGCCCAGCTTTCCAGCCTGTCAAGATCATCCTGTATAATGACTTTGTATTTGCTACCCCTCCCAACTGAGTATCATCTGGAAATTTAAGAAGTTACAAGTAAGGAGTAGGGATTTTCCATAGGTACCTAAATAGGGAAGTTTTGGTTCTTTTTTGGGTTAGAAAATATTGTGGGCTATTTTATTCTCATGCAATACATTACTATTCCAAAAGAAGCAACTATCTTATGAAGAGAATGAATATATTTAATATTCATATTGAACGATAAGGAAATTATTGGCAACTGTGTACATGCTTTTAAAATAAGAGAACTGCTGCCCTAACACATCTTAAGAAAAGAATAAGCAACATATTTTGCACGTAAAATGTAGAAAAAAAGAATACATTTATATTACCTTAACTGCTTTAAACCGTTCTATTTCATGCTGTGGATTGTTATAACAATTATTGCAGTTGCAGTTACTGCAGAAATCACCACTGGCAAAACAATCACAGTATCTGTGATTAACAAAGACAACACATAGAATACATTTTTATAAAAGTTCATCATTTTCAACTGACTCATTTTTATCTATCAGGTTGGAAAGCACTAAATGTTGGACCATTTGGATCTATGAGCCTGTGACTTCTTCCATGTGTACGTCTACTGCGGTGGCTCAAGTGGTTAAGACACTGAACTGCAGTCTGTGGAAGGTCGGTAGTTCAGCAGTTCGAGACCTGGGTGCCGCATGATGGAGTAAGCTCCCATCTCTAGTTCCAGCTCCTGCCAACCTAGCATCTCGAAAGCAAGAAATTGCAAGTAGATAAATAGGTACCACTTTGATGGGAAGGTAACAGCGTTCCGTGCGCCTTGGTGTTTAGTCATGCCGCCCACATGACCACGGAAATGTCTTCGGGCAGCGCTTGGTCTTCGGCTTTGAAATGGAGATGCTATTCGCAACCCTAGAGTCGGATTCGACTGGCTTTCGAGCAAGGGAACCTTTACCTTTACATCTAAAAACCCTGGAGTTTGGAGGTTCCCACTATATGTGCCATTCCCAGGAAGCAAAATTTCTTCCACTAAATTAGTAAGTGACTCTGGGATACGTGCTTCATATATAGCAAGGTCATATACCACCTAATAAGACTTTTTGAAAGATGCTTCTCATACTGTGATATTGATGAAGGTAGAGAACATTTTTTAAAATTTCCTCCCACTGGATACCCTTACCCTTTCGCCTAAATTAGTGCTCTGTGCCCATTTATATTGGGGTTATGTGGAGTCTGTTTTACTATTTAATGAGAATAAATACTGTACACTGCACTGAAGAAGAGTGGAGCTGCTGGATCCTTCCATGAGAGATACAGAGGGAAAAGCCTCACATTCCTGGTAAGGACTGATCTGAATCTTCAAGAGCCAAAGGAAGTGCATTATAATTCCTTATGGGTTTCCCTCCTATATATGAAGCTTTGCATTGGTCATGCCAGTGCATGTCAATATGTGTGTGTGTGCTAAGTGTCTTCAAGACACTTCCGACTTATGGCAGCCCTATGAATTAATGTCCTCCAAAATATCCCTTCAAGCTCAAGTCTTGCAAACTGTGGAGTGGCTTCCTTGATTAAGGTAATCCCTCTTATGCTGGGTCTTCCTCTTTTTTCTGCTGCCTTCAACTTTTCCTAGCACGATTGTCTTTTCCAGTGACTCATGTCTTCTCACAATAGCCTCAGTTTGGTCATTTAAGCTTCTAGGGAGAGTTCAGACTTGATTCGATCTAGAACCCACTTGCTTGTCTTTTTGGTGGTCCACGGTATCCATAAAAGTCTCCTCCAACATACCACCTTTCACATGAATCAACTTTCTTCCTGTCAGCTTTCTTCACTGTCCAACTTTCACAAACATACGTAGTAATGGGGAATACTGTGGCATGAATTAATATGATCTTGGTTACCAGTGACACAGTATTTGTATGCCTTATTTAACGGAGAATATAAGCCACTTTTGGCCCAATGGTGGAGACAAGTGGAGTAGGAAATGCTTTAAGTAAATTAATAGAATACTTTATTTCAACACACTGAACCTTAATTAAAGTCCTTGATACTACAGCCCTAAAAGAAGACAGAATGAGGGAGAAATGAATGATATGTATCTGACACATAAAAGTAATCTGTGTTATCTTCCAATAAATTAACATAAGTGTATTTGGTATGTATGAGGCTTGACATCATGCATGTAAAGTTAGACATGACTTTCAGCGTGTGGAATAAAGTATCACACATACACAGGGGGAAAAAAGAAAATGCAACTTCTGGTATGTTAAGAGCAGATCCAACACTGTTCTGTGCATGGATATAGTATTATAGTTTTATTGACTTGAATAGCTTCAAGACCAATACATTTGGTAGTATATTATCTGAATAGAGTAATTATATCTGAAGTTTATTACACACCAAATGGATGTTTCAATAATATAAAATTTACTTACAACTTGAGACACTGTGATTTAGTACAGTTGCATGGCTTCTTAGACTTTGTATCCCAGGAACTGAAAGGCAGCCTAAACAATTGTGAATTAAAAATGAAATCAATATTCAAATAATATAAATGTACAAAATGAGCAAATATATCTGTTGAAAGATTCTGTTTCAAATGTTCACATAGTAATGCCTGTTATGGAGATTCCCAACTTTACTCCTTCCATCCAAATATCTTTCTGCTATCTATAATCCCCCCACCTGTCTTGCTGCAAGGAAACTGCTAACAGGAATATTTAGGGCCAGAATATATTATATGAACGACACAAGTTGAGTCACAGGAGCCCAGCCCAGCTCATAGCCATGCGTATAATCGGAAGAACTCATCTTCAAAGCATTCCATTGCTCCATTCAGCTCCTGGGATGGACACATGAAGCCCAAGGAAGAGGCAAACAAGACCCCCCCCCCCTGGCTGTTTCCACTGGTGAAAACAGCATGGGAGGGAAGCCTGAAGTGCCTCCTTCCTCCTCTCAGTACTCCAAAGCTGAGCTGAACAGAGCAACAAAATGTTCTAAAGGTGAGTTCTCTAGCTCATGTGTCATTACAAGCTGGGTTGGGCACCTGTGACCCAACTTGTGTTACATGTATCTTGCATTTTGGCCCTCACAATTTACTGTTGTAAAAGGGCAAAACAATACATGTATTTCTTACTTGTCTTCCCATTGGTCAAATTACATAACTTTAGTGTGTGGAGTAAACATTTTTTTCATGGATCAATAACTGAATAAGTGACCTGAACAAGAAGCAGGACTATATAATGCTAACGTTAAATAAGGAATTGTCCGGAACACAAAATGTATTAGTAGTTAGAGCAATTTAATGGAGAAATGTGCTTCTTGCTAACAAAATTAGTGTGGACAGCCTGAAGGCTATCTTTGCAGAAAATAATAGCCACACATTACACACAATAACTTCTCTGCGTGCATATCTCTTTCGTGTTTGAAAGTTTCATGTACACTGTAAAATGATAAGCTGGTGGACATCCTGAAGGCTTTCTTTGCAGAAAATAATAGCCACACATCACACCAGAGGATCCACATCAAGGATCTCAGATCTCTTACCCACATTACTGAAATTATGCAGAATAATACAGTAGAGCTTAATTGTAGCCGTCAGCATAAGCATATACTGAAAATCCTGTGTTTTGTTGAAAACTTGGTTTTGAATGGATTTTTAATATTGTAGAGATAATTGTGTAACCATGTATTCTATTGTAACTTGCAACAAACATCAATTGCTTACCCAACCAGAGTCACTTTTGTTGGCTCTCACACGCACACACACACACACACATATAGATAGATAGATAAAACATTTAATAAATTTTATTAACTCTTCTCAAAACACACCACCACCAATATCAAAAAAGGTTCATAAAATTACATCGTTTGTTGGCAGCATGTGAAAAAACATAAAAAAGCACATTAGACACAGCAACAAAAGCTCTGGCAGCTCGGTCACAGTAACTGTTTAAAATCACTCACGGTATACTGGCTAATGAAGCAAGAAGGTAGCTGGATAAAAAGACTTAATTAAACTTCACAAACACAATGACAACCAAACATGAAGCTGCAAAAAGTGCAGGCTGTGGTAAACTATCTTCTTTTATACAATTTTACTGCTTACAGTAAATAATAATATACCTCACAGGGTGTCTGTTGTGGGGGGGGGGAAGGGAAAGGAGTTTGTAAGCCACTCTGAGACACCTTTGGGTAGTGAAGGGCAGGGTATAAATCCAATCTCTTCTCTTCTTCTTCTAAAACTTTCATATATCAATGTAGATTAAAAACCTGGAATGTTTTCTTAGAAAATTTTACCATAGTGGGACCTTGCCTTCAATCCACAGCAGCATTCACACCATTAAACTATCAAATACTGAATCAGCTAATGTTGTTGATCAAGACCAGCTCCAGATTTGTTAAGCCCTCTCCCCAGCAAAACACTATCACTGGGCCTCTTTCAGTGCTAGATGTATGGGAAAGGGTTAGAAGAATGAAGGAATGAACGGGCAGAAGAAAAATAATTGCAGAATGAAGAGAGGAGATAGGAAGAAAAGGGAAAAGATGAAGAATAAGAGAGTGGGGAGAGCATATCTAAAGAGCACAAGGCATGTGGCAAGTGCAGCTGGGATGGAGTAGAGGGATTCAGAGAGAGAGAGATGGACAAATGTGCCGGATGTCATAAATGCAGTGAATGACAGAGCGGGAGTGAAGAAAAAAGGTTAAAGCAGGGGGACAGGCATTTGGGTGATTCTGAAACACAGCTGGAAACCACAGGAAGGAGAGAGGCGAAAAGATGAATCAGGAACTTCAAGGTGGCAAAGGGATGAAGGAACAGGTGAAAGATGACAGGACAATGAAAGGACTGTCTACCAACCTGCTTACCTGTTTGTGTTTCTGTTATGGGCAGATCTGTCACCACCTGCTTTGCCCTTGCCCTGCAGCTCCCACAGCACTAAGGGAAGCAGCCTAATGGAAGGGTGGAAGTGAGTGCTTGACTGCCTGCTTGTTTGGGGCAGAGCTCTTACCACCTGTTCTGCCCCCCTTCCCACACTGTGAATTAGTTAATGGCCAGTATTTTTGTTTAGGGATTTGTGTGTGTGTGTGTATGTATGTATATATACAGGGGTCATTTCGTAGAAAAAGAGGTGCAGGAGCTCATTAGCATAACTCATTAGCATAACTTATTTGCATGTGCCACACCCCCTGACATCACCGGAAGTGTGTCAGAAGGCAACTCCCACCGCTTAGGCTCCACTGGACTGTATTGGATTGCTAGCGGGGGGGGGGGGGGGGCGGGTCTGCCACCCACGGGG